CGCCCTTTGACGTCAGACACATCGACAGACGCATGCGATTGAAATGCATATAAGACTCCTGACTTTTTACCTGGCAAAATGGACATTTCGGTTAACTTATCAAGAAATCAGCTTAACAAACGTTTAAAGAGTTATCAGAGAGAATAAAAAAAAATGGAAATATTTGAAAGTCTATTAAGTCTATATGTTACAATTTTGATGAACAGGGGTTGTCCGTAACGTTCGTGTCAGGATTATAAAACTGAGAAAAAATAAATATTTTCCATGGAGGAATTATGAAAATTCTCATATTGTCCTTACACCCCAAAAAATTTTTTTTCTATAATTGAAAACATTATGGTTGTGTGACCAAATATTATTTATATTTATACCGTTACTAAAACGTTAAGTTATATTCCGCAAGAAGATAAAGTAATTATTATTGAGACTACGATAAGTAACTTGTCTATGATTTGAGTTAAAACATCTGATGTCAAAAAGCTAAAAGAATAAGAAAACCTCACTGATATCTTTCATGCACACTTCTGTCAAAAAGGAAAAAAATCAAGATTAATAAAATGGAAGGAAAGACCATTGTTAGAAAATAGAACGTAAAAAAAATTTTATCAAGGATTAAATTTTGTCATTTTAGCAAGGTTGTTGAGATCGCTTAAAATTAAATATCGAAAACAATTTATTCTGCCTCAGAGGATACTGTTATCTTTCCATGCCCCATAAAATCACCTAAATATACTTATTGATAAAAGTACATCATTAACATGATTAACTTATTGTAAAAGTACATACATAAATTGATTTTAATGACAGATGATACAGCAAATTCTATTTTCTTTGGACGAGACTTAATACCACCTCACATGTTTAGAAAAGTTGTTACTTCTTTGCATTTTTTCACCTTAGACTTGGAAAATGAAATAACCATTGAATATATTGGTAAACACTAATAGCGAGCGCAGCGAGCGTCGCGAAGCGACGCTCGTAACTTTGAGCTCTAACGACAACGCCTGGGCGAAGAGAAAATTCGGACTACTGCACATTCATTCTTTAGAATTTTTTGCCGCAGTAATTTTGACCCACATTGCATCACTTAGCAAAGTTGCGTTCTCGCGAGAATGACGGCAAATGTTCAACAAAAAGTTTACTCGCCTTGATTAAATGGATACATATTGAAGATAAATTGTAAACGTAACTTTTTTCATTCACTTTCAGCACTGTTCAGTTTTTTTTTTGAATTTAAACTTACATACGACGTCATGTGACGTCAGAGTCTAGACGCACCAAATGTCACGTGCGGTTTGACCAGCCCGATCTAAATTAAAACAATAGAAGAGTTTGCGCTCGCTCGAACGGTCGCACCGTCAACATATTATATTGGAGAAAACATACATAAATAGAAAAGTTCTTAAAGATATCCTCATATGTTGACGGCCATCATTAAAGAAGGTGATTTAGGGAAAGGTATAAAAACTGAGTTTATTTTAAATTTTGAAATATGGTACTGGGCATTTAACCCCAGGAAAATGTTCTAACAAAACACAACAAGAAAACATTGATGTAACCATAAATTGTCGACCGGGAAATATATAAAGTAAACAATGGAAATGACTCTTGATCATCAAACCGCTTCAATATGTGTGAAAAGGCATGCGTCTAATTGATGGGGACGATAGTCGAACCGGGAATATTTGGAAAACTTATTATCGGATATATGTCAAACAAAAGCGATACAATTTTAAACTTCAATTCCTCGAGTAAATGTTGGCTGCATAAAATATAAATTAAAGTTAGACACATACATCACCTATATTCAAACATGTATTTAATTTTCAATTTTTAGAATATAAAACACGAACTGTGAAGAGTACGTTTTTATGCGAGAAGCAAAATTCGATGTTCTAAAAAAAGGGACTTGTCTTTTTTTCAATAGTAAATAATAAACAACTTTATATATTAAATATGAAATACATATATATTTTTACACATTCACTTTATGGAAGTAAATACATTATGTATCTCGTAATTTATAAAGGGAAAGAACATTCTGATTAACAATCTTTTCAATGTTTAGAAAACCTTTAATTTTAGATAACTACTCCCACCCCAATCCCCGTATACCAACACTTAAACTTATATGTATAGAGCAGCCCGGTCCTCCGGGCTGCAATAACAGTGAACAAAAATCACAGACTGTTATTTACTTCAATGGAGAAAATACTTGTAAATAACATGCTAAATTAAAAAAATAAATGTCCTGAAAATGTTAAGAATATTTGAATTGATTACAAATTATGAAAAATAATATACTTTGAATTTCTTATTATTGGAATTAAGATGTAAGGACAGACCACTATAACAATAGAATAATACCTTTGGATCAGACATCTTTAGTAAACTCAAACGATGACGTGAGATATTTCTTTAAGAATAACATATATTTCCTTTATTAAATTGTACTTGTGTGTTAAGTTCGCACAATTATAGTCATCTTATTTGCTTGAAAAGAGTTAAAAATTTTATAATTGGATGTTCTCTCATCGCACGCATATTTGAAAAAAGAGATCAAGAAAGATTTTATTATTTCAGATCTGAACAACAAATAAAGAAAGTTGCTATTCGGTGACTAATTAATTGTGAATATCAAATAAGAATTAGACGAATTTATAAGCGAAGAGAATATCAAATGAAAATATTGAATTACCTTTATTTTTTTTTTTTTGCCAAGTCATTTTGGAATTCTCATTTACTATGGCCTGTAACACAGTTCTGTATGAACAATCACAATAATTTCCTCTAACAGAGCATTTAAATTATTAGGGCATAAAATTTCAAAGAGAACATGCATTAAAAATTATGAACTAGGTAACACTCATTTTGATTTAAAAGTACTTGTATCATGTTTAATTTTTTCCATCATTTAGTTATTTATGGAGTGTCTGACTTTGCTGTGTTTTATTCATGTATTTTCATAATCTTGTCGATCAATTGCTAGTACATGTATTTCATACAAAAGCTTTTTTTAAAGAAAAAGAAAAGAAAAGTATTTTTAAAAAGGCTGAAGATCCTTATCAAAGTTATTATATTATGTTATATTACTCATTAAAATAAGCAAAATAGAATGAGTAAAAATATTTGTTTTGTTGATGTGTGAAGTTTCATTTCATTCGAATTCACTTTATTTTAAGAACAAAAGCTTTTGTACCTGCAGAGCACACTTAACGGCAATATAACGTCAAAACATAGCGTCTAGAATTTCTAAAAAAAAAACACAGTATAATACAAAGCCTATTTATTAAATATTTTCTATTACTTGACATTTATTAATCTCCTATCGGTGAATCCGGAGGGGATTATGGATTTCCTGTGAGTCCGTCCGTCCGTTTCTCTATCTGTCCCTATGTTTTTCAGTAGGTCTTACTTGGTTTTTCACACTTTTTTCTGAACACTTGAAGATATTGAGCTGAATTTTGGTATGTGAGTGCATCTTGATGAGTTATAGATGAAGTTTGAATGCCGTTTGGCTTCATTGATTATTGACGAAATATGGCATTTTTAATTTTTCATAAAGGTTTTGGATCAGGTTGGTGCAGCGCTAATTTAATGATCCATACAAGATTGTCATGTTCTTTTCACAGATTGCCTTCATTAGAATGTACAAAGTCTCTGTCACTCAAATATTGCCTGTATTATTTGTACACACATGCACAACTCGCTTGTGATATATTTTTGATTCCTCCAACTATTTTGGAGTTTACTCAGGATTTTTCCTTAGTAAAGCACAGTATTACATAGTTATCTGCTGCTCCGCGACATTTTAAACGTCATCGTTTTTGTCGTTTTCAATTAGGACTAGCTATCCTCTCAAGTTGATTTCTTTTAAACAAAGCAAAAAAAAGTCATAATTTAGAATGTGCATCGATGTCACAATTTTTAATTTGAATTTCAAGGGTATTTTTTCGTTTTTGCTCCTTTTTAAATGAGAATATCATTACTGATATTAGTGTATTGTTTATAACTTACAAAATGTTGACCTGCACAGCAATTTTAAAATCTGGATAGAGGATGTTTTAATCTTATTTGCTACTGAAACGATCGTTCTAACTAACGAAGTAAAAAAAAAACGAATTAAACTTCAAAAAATTTCATTTTATTATTTTTGAATCATAATTAAATAATAAGAAATATATGTAATATTTTTTCATTGATCGACGTATCAAACAAAAATTTGGACGGAAACTCTTTCATCAATGCACCAGGTTATAATAATCAAGTTTGTTTCATCGGTAATTAAATCGTTTGCTTCCTGATGGGGATTTCGTGGATTTAGGCAATTGTCGCAACAAAATTTATATACCGGTAGAAATTTCAAGGAACGCATTTGTTGCCTGTTTTATAGCATCAATTATGATTGAATCTAAGGGTAGGGTCATTTTGGGAAACCTTGGTATTTTAAAAAAGCAAAAATTCATGTGCTAAATATAAAATTCTTGCCTCTTACAATTTTCAATATATAGGGTGTGACAGACGGACGGATCGACAGACTGATGCTTTGTAGAGTGATCCTTTAATATTTCTATTTGTTTTCTTTGTGATAACTCATTGAAAGTTAGTGGAGTTGATAATTCTATCGGAATGTAAATTGGGCAAAGCCAAAAGTCAGGAGGTATGGAGGCCTTATATGCATGTAAATCTCGTGTTGCTGTCTTTGTGATTGATGTCAGTGGGTGAGGACTTTTGAAAAGAACATGGGAGGTCTCATGAAATCTATTAGTCTACATTTTTAAAATCTAAATTTACAATTTTATGTCACAAAGGAATGGAAATATAATGAATCACTGTCTAGTTAGTAGAGGATGTCAAGGGTATCATCGATAGTTTGAAACGTGGGATAATTTGCATAAAAAGCCGCATGCGCACTGGTATCAAATGTATAGATATTCACAGGTATATAAATGTACATCACATGTAGTAAAAGGGAGTAGAGATTATATCATTAAAAAAATATGCAGATCATTGGGAACATTGCCCAGCTTTGTATCTTCGTTCCAGCTACCCTAAGTTTGACTTTAAATGAACTTTTTCCTTTTGGAAATGAGGCAGGAGACAGAGAATTAAAAGGAATTGATGATGGAAGTAGTCCGAAACTTGTTTTATCAACTCCTTTTCCGTATTTCAATCAACGAAATCCATCATTGTTTGTAAGTAAAAAATGAAATCTCTTATATATGTTACTTTGAAACATATTGATTAAGCCAATAATTTGTTTAGCAGCAATTTTTTTAGCATATTAAAATCGCCTTTTGTTTTACAATTAAAAAATGACGTACTTGTCCGTTATTATATTCTGTGTAACTTATTAAATTAACTACCTTTTACGATAAACGCAGGCCAAATACATTTGTTATTACAGTTGTATATTCTGTATACTTACATCACCTATTGTTTAACAATAACCTCAGGCCGAAAACGTGAATGTATTTTCAGTTTTATATTCTTACGTATGTATTATCATATTCTTTTTATTCAGAACCTACATCTGGCAAACAGAATTGCTCACTTTATAGGGCGTTTGATATCACACCATATTGTGTTAGACTTTGTGTTTATACGAGGGTTGATCCAAAAGTAATGTCACAGTGTCCATATCTTTTATATTTGGCGTCATATTATCAAATTTTATAGACCAAAGATGTACAAATATAAATTTAATAAAACTTTAATTTTTCATTCAATAATGTTTAACTGAATTTATTTTATAGATGTTTAAAACATATAAGATAGTGGGTGTCGCCGCGTCAAAACCGAACGTCACAAATTAAAGTATACCTTTATTAATATAAAAAAGACAAACACTTAAAAAGCATCGTTTAAAAGCGCCTAAACGCAAAATTCTTTAAATGACAAAAATTTACATCATTTTCTAGTCTTAAATTGATAATTATATGACATCACTGCTATTTTTATGAAAAACATCGTTGATTTATTCCGGTGCATCGAAAAAAAGGAAATGTCAAAATGGACAAAAAAGCCAAAAGAAACTGTAATGCATTTTTGTTTCAAAATGAAGAAATCGCCAGTAGAGACAGTTACGTTGATTCACGGACTTTCGGAGGAAAGAATGTAAAGAAAAGACTTGTTTAGATGGTTTCAGCGAATTTTGGTGGGTGATGGGTTATTCAATGCTCAGCAGATGATAAGAAAACCGAAAGACGGGAGGGCGGACGGAATGTTCAATGGTGCGTGACGTTGTCAAAAAGACAGACAGATAGAGCGATATGTGAAATTTTAAGTTGGTCATTTACTACTGTTCAATGAATTTTGACAGAATTAATTATGGAAAGAGTGAGTGTACGATGGGTACTAAGGGTAAGAAAGTGAAGTTTGTGAACGTGTTCGTGGATATCAAATCTCAAATATTTTTTAATGACACGAAGGGAAGCGTTTAAATGCATGACGTCGCGTATCCGTCATATGACGTTATTTAGGTGCGGCGACTACCATAATCGCACGTTGTGTTAAATCCGATATTTTAAAAAGTATAAATCATGTTGAATTGAAATTTTCAGGTCTGATTTGAAATAAATGTAGCTTTCATCATTTATAATTTTGTTGTTTTACGTTGACGGCTAGCGATTTTATCGAAGTTGTGACATTACTTTTGGATCAACCCTCGTACTTTATGATCTTTGACTAAATATAGAATTGACGATGAAAAGCACTTGACAATGTGTAAAATTTTGCATTTTAATTAGATGAATTAAAAATATTTTTTTTAAAAAAGAGAAACTAAAACATTTTCGTATTGCAAGAAATACCATGTGTGCAACCATATAGTGAAGACAATATTTAAGTTAAAGCAGAAAAAGCAACTACATGTACTACTTTCAAAAAAATAAATATCAGAAAATCCCTATTTCGGTGTCCATGACAAGAGAATCTTTTAAAATTAGGGAGACGTATACATATAAAAATTACGCAGTCTGAAATAAAAAAAAATATTCAATTAGAAATAAAGCATTCATTTTCTTTCATCGAACAGTAAAATTGTTTACCAAAGCGATTCCATTTGTCCAGAAACCGGTTTGACTTGATGCAAAGAATATGCCTTTAACACTGACTGAACTGTAATTAAATGAAAAAAAAAGATTTCAGTAAAAATTTTCACATTTTGTCTGTATCCATTGTAATATTTGCTGTAATGAATATTTTGAATGTTATTTAGTGCACCGATACATGTAAGAGGACATTTTACACATAAATCATGATATTTTTTAATGTCAATCACATTACTCAATTTGCGAACACGGATTTCATGTAGAAATACCTTCATCTATTTTCTATTATTTTTATATCTTTACCAAATCTTAATCCATGTGAATGTATCATAAAATCCCACCACTTCCTAACATATTGCATTTTGAACTGTAGAAAACGGCATGGCGAGTATCGGGACATATAAAGGGATAACACGTGCAGTATTTACAAATGTAATCCAGTCTCCTGCTGCAAAAGAAACAGCTATCGATTCTTAGATTTTTTTGTCCCCAAAAATTAACATTATCAAGAAGTGTGATGTCCATTTTATGGAGGGGTGTCATATACCATCTTATTAAAGGCCTGTGTTTCCAGGTTATGTGATTGCAGGTTGTTTCGGGGTTTTGATTTGTTTTTTTATTGGAGGGTTGGGGTTGGTTGAAATAGAAATACAATGCTGCAACTATTTTTCTATGCAAGCATCCATCCCTTTCAAAACAAAATATAGCGATTGATAATTCAAATTTAATGGCTTGTTTAGTATTTAATACACATTGAATAACTCACATATTTTTCTTTTGAATTGTCAACTGTTCGTGCACGTTACATGTAGGTTCTTGAGAATTTACCCCCACTTCCCAAACATAAACAAATAGTTAAATTTATTTTTAAAAAGCCATATCCCAAAAGTGCTGTGACTACATCGGTTTAAGCATGAGTAATCAGTATAACACTACACAAAGAGAAAGAATCAACATCAATCGTAAATTATTTTTATAGGCAAATAATTACATGTAAGTCCTAAACGGATGTAAACATCAATTGTATTTCTGTAACAGTACATTATGTTCTCATCCTTCCTTATTAAGCAACATATACTTCAAAGCACACTAGTTCGATCAATGCAATTAGATATGGATGAAGATGACAATGTATTGCACAGATTTTAAAAACCTTTTAACGGAAAATATTTCTGCTTATAAGTAAACAAAGAACATTCAATTAGAATACAGGCTCGATGATTAAAGTATTTTGCTGCTGGGAACACACCAAATTTCTTTTAAAAACTCTCTTAGATTTTTTCCGCTAGATAATATCACTGTCACTTGTTCTGTAATGAAAGTTAAACGTTTAATCATAACACAGTGTTTCTAATTCCAAATTACACGGACTACCCCCACCTAAAAAAATACTCATTCACACTTTAACTCTTTACAACTTACTGAACTGTTTTGAAGCATACACTTAATGTTCACGTCATAGAAATAGAAATTTACCATTTCCCCGCAAGCTCCTTATAGCGTGGTACACGTTTCTCTAAAGTTAAGCGTAAATAATATTCTGACGTTATATTTTAATACAAAAATGACTTTTCTTATTTTATGAGATTTTTACAAGTATAAAATGAAAGGAAAATGGCATAAGATTAAAGATTAAATGATCTTTTTAAAGTGCGTGAAATTGCGTGATTGCGGGGAAACAGTATATGCGTGATTTTGCGTTAGAAATAGGAAATGTTGTATGCGTTAAAACGCGTCACTGCGGGGAAGGGGGTTCAAGCAGTATGAACTGCATTTTAAGAAACTTTATTTAGAAGATTAAATGTGTTTTTATGATATATGTGTATGTTAATTAAACTGTTATGTTCAATAAGACTTAACTTAAGTATTAAATTGATCCAGCTTAGATATTTTAATTGGCTAAAAATCTGTTTCTAAAATTACATTAAAGAAATATCGTAGTTTTAATGGAAAATGAGACAAACTCAAATTTTATTTATTCCATGCAGTATTTGAAATCAAGAATTGATTTTAAAAATCACTCATTTTTTTTTTTGTTCTTTGCCCAATATAAGTCTACTTCTAGTCCATTTCCAATAAAATATTTATTAAGCTGGTCTATCTTGAACTGACCATGATAAATCCATTCTACCTAAATAAAATGAAACATACTATTACCTAAAAAGTAGAAGACATGAATGAATTCTATGCTTAGTAGTAGAGCAAAATGTACATACTGTCCAACATTTTTACTAGCTTGTTAATGTATTCATTAATTTTTTTTTCATAAGGTACTGCATCTAATTAATCTTTGGTCATTGGCTTCGGAATCAAATTAAAAATTCGGGCTGGGTGTAGAAAGGAGTGGCAATGTGAAAGAGAAAAAAATTCAAACTTACTAAAAAAAACTTTACAAGCAAAAACCATATGTCAATTGACAAAACAAACGGGAGTTGGGGGTGGGGTTAGAATTTTAGTACTCTTGATACCAGTTTTTTCCACAAAAAGGGTCACTGTTACTCTTTTGATCTAAACTGAACGTAACTTTTAAATGTGTGTGTGGGGGGGAGGGTGGGGAGGGTGGCTAAACCCTGATGTCCCATGCTTATCTTATGTCTATCTTGCAAAAAAAGATGGGGGTTGAGTCCCCCTAGCCCCAACCCACACCCCCTGCACGGTTCACCGGTTTCGACGCCTATGATGCTAATTAACAATAAATATTAAACAGTTTTGGACAGTGGTAAAATGCCTCGAAAGTTAGATTGCTTTATGGCGTAAATATTTACAAAAAAATGCATATTATTCGTGTTTAATCTATTTTACAATTCAAAACTTTGAACTTCCAAAAATTATAAAAATTATAAAAAGAGAAATGAGTCATTTACAGTGTAATGGCCACTGAACCTGAAATAAAGTTTGAATTATCGGATGTGTGCTCAGAAAAATAGTTGCACTTTTGTAATTCTATTTGAACCTTACTTCCCAAAAGAAATTAATGGTAATAGCAATCCATTACTTGACTAATGTAAAGTAATGGTACTGTAAATCATTAAGATGGGAATCCCTCCTGTATATTAAATAATCCTAGTCTTTTATACTGTTGCTCCAATAATATAAATAATAATTATCATGATATTCAGGTACATGTATTTATAACTATACGT